GTCAACAATGCTGCCTTTTTCCTTATTCCTCAGGCCTAAGCAGCATGCAGCAGAGCAGTTTCTTCTAAGCAGAATGCTCCTTGCAATAGATTCAGAGTTACCTTCCCCTGCAGTGTCTGTCTAGAGGCTGCTAAGGTTTGGGATATAGTTTGTGTGGGTCCCTGAGGATTTACGCTTGACAAGTTTGGTTTCCCAATGGAGAGACTATACAAAATAGGGCACATTGTGAGATAGTAAGCCATGGAGGGTGCTGCTTTCTGATTGTTTTGATATCGGGCTCACAGTATGACCAACACACACTCACAAGTGAGATGTGACGTGTGTCTTTCCATGCTATGTGTGTCCTTCACTGCTCAGAAGAGCTGAGCCAGTGGCAGTGGCAGGCTTCCAACCTCTTAAACTATGATGTACATGAGCCTCCTTTCTTTATACACGATCCTAGTTCAGGTATTATGTTATAGTAATGAAAAATAGATCCATATAGAGGAATTTAGATTTAATTAATTTTGCCCCTTCTAAACTTAATTTGAAATAATAAAAGGAATGCTCTATTTCCTGATACATAGGACTTTCATGAAGCTTCATGTATACACTCACTCTTTCATTAATGTTACAAGTGCACACACATGCATACACACATAAATGCATGTATGCTGTGGGGCACCAAATTTTCTGTTCTGCATTCATTTTCTTCAAGGTAATACAGGTTTAAAAATGTCCACATTCTTGGCCTACAGAGATAGCCGACTCTGTAAACTACTTGCTACAAAAGCACACAGACTGAATCAAATTCCCAGAACTGTATAAACATCTGGGGGTTGTAGAACACAGGAATAATCCCTGAGATGAGATGGCAATGACAGGAGGATCCCTGGGTCTTGCTGACCAACCAATCACATAGCCTAACTAGAGATTTCCAAGTCAATGAGAGACACTGTCTTAGAAACACAAGGGAGATGGTTCCTGAAAAAAAAGGTCTCAAGTACTCCTCTGGAGTTTACACACACACACACACACACACACACACACACACACACACAGAGAGAGAGAGAGAGAGAGAGAGAGAGAGAGAGAGAGAGAGAGAGAGAGAGAGAGATTTATGTTCTTTCTTGTGTTTGAATACTCATGCTTTTGTTTTTTCAATCTTCTGATACAGAATAGTTCACATACTAATCATTGTGTTATCAAAACTCAAAACTTCTGTGGCACTCCTAGAAGAATGATCTTCCTCCTGACAAGGTTCAGTACATCTAATGGCACTGCACCTGTGTTTCAAAACCTGATTGCCTGACTATGAATTACAATTAGTCCCTCTTAAGTCTAGCAAGCTGTTTTTCATATCTAATGTCCAGCATAGGTAGAAGCAGTAGTGTGCCAGCCCACAGAAGACTCATTTTAAGACCTATGAGGAATGCATGAAACTGCAGATAGCATTATATATTAATTCTATATGAAAATTTTATATACACATGTACTTATGGTGAATTTTAATTTAAGAATTAGGAACATGAAGAGATCAATAACGAATACAAAATTATGGAGTTATTGTGTGATGAAACTTCATGCTTTGGAACCATTATTAACTAAGATAAAGGTTGTACGAATACAACAAATGGTTACTAAGCAACTCCAAGTGGGCAGGCTATACACCAGTGGCTCTCAACTGTCTTAATTCTGGGACCCTTTAATACAGTTCCTCATGTTGTTGTGACCCCCTCCCAGTCATAAAATTATTTTTGTTGCTACTTCATAACTGTAATTTTGCTACCTTTATAAATTGTAATGTAAATATCTGTGTTTTATGATGGTCTTATGTTACCCCTCTTAAAGGGAGGGTCATTCCACTCCCAAAGGGGTTGTTACCTACAGATTGAGAACTGCTGCTATAAAACATCATCCACTGACCGAAGAGTGACTCACATCCCAGGCCAGATGGAGTGGGAAACATGAGGCTTCATTGTGCTACTTGGAAGCATATACTATTAAAGACCATGCATTACATATATCTGAAGTTATCTATTTACTATATTTAGAATGTTATTGACCTTGGGTAGCTGAGAGCATAGAAAGCCAAACTTCAGGAAAGAGTGGGCAGCTATACACTCCACTATGTTTTGATAAATAGGTGTTTGTTATTAAAGTATTGAATGCATGCTAGTGTTCCAAATGCAACTTACAGTCTATGTAGACCAAGCCATCCTGGAAGTCGCAGAGTTCCATCTGTCTCTGCCTCCCACTCTGCTGAGATTAAAGGCATGTGCCATCATGCCTGCTCAGATTTATAGTCTAAGCATCCTTGGGTTTCACTACATGAAATTTATTAGTTCTTTTGTACTTCTCTCTGAAATGAGTAATTACACAGCTTATGACTTCCTGAACTAGAAGCAAAAGTAGAATTAGGTGGACACGTTAGTAAGAACATCATCAGTTTTATGAGACACAATGTTGAGAACTCTTTAGCCCTTCACCCTCTAATCAAATTATGAAACATTTAGAAGTTCTGTGTTGTAGAGTATTATTTGAAGGTGTGTTACTTATGTTTGTGCTGCATTTGTTGAATTCTGCGAAGCTGTGATTCTTTGCCTGTCTAAAACACCTGATGGTCTAATAAAGAGCTGAATGGCCAATAGAAAGGCAGAAGCAAGGATAGATAGGGCTGCCAGGCAGAGAGGATAAATAGGAGAAATCTGGGAAAAGAAGAAAGAGAAAGATAGAACAAGGAGAGGAGGACTTTAGGAGCAAACCACCCAGCCAGCCAGCCAGCCAGCCATGGAGTAAGAGTGAAAGTAACATATACTGAAGAAAAGAAAAAGGCCCAGGGGCAAAAGGTAGTTGGAATAATTTAAGTTAACAAAAGCTGGCTAGAAACAAGCCAGACTAAGGCTGGATATTCATAAGTAAGAATAAGCCTCCATGTGTGATTTATTTAGGAGCCGGTGGAAGGCCCCTAAAAGACCAAAAAGTCCAAAGTGTAAGAGCAAAGAGTAAAAAACCAACAACTACCGGTCTACAGTGTTTACACTATGATATTGTGATATCCACAAGCTCTGAAGAACTAAGTCTTTCTATTTGTTATAAGAATAGACATCTTTCTATTACTGGAGTGACTGTGAGTGAGCAGACTGCACGGAGTGGAAACACCATTCATTGCCCTACACAGCATCCATCACTGCCAGGGTCTGACTTGCTGCACCATGCATGTCCTGAGTGCACTCGCTAGCCTCTTGCCAGGCACACTTCTCGCTAGAACCAAAAATTGTTATAGAAAAAAGTTTCTGTTTCAAGTTTCCACATATTACCTATTATACATTTTTTTAAAAATTAGTTTTGGCTGTGTAAAAATATATACAATGGGAGATTATTAATTACTAAGCATGTGTACATAAAACACCATCTATAGTGTATGCTAATATCACCATAATGTTCTTACCATGATCATGAGAACACTGATGTTCAAGCATTGTGACATGAACCCTCAGGTAACATTAATTCTTATTCTTAAAATATGCTAAGTAATTTAAATAAGATCCTTATTTAGGGTTCTGCCAAAAATGGACTTGCAGCTAGTGTCTGGTGAGAAAGGAAAGGAAATTTGTTTCTTTTTCTGATAACTTGTGAAGGTGGTCAGTGTCTTAAACAAGAATTTACTGGAAATGAAGATGCTGAACCCACATGAGGTTCTGTTAAGCTGGAACTATTTGGACTTGGGGTTTTCTTTATTAATTTACAGTAGATGATCTGTGGAATGGATAAATGAACTCATTTGGATAAAGTAATTTTAACCAGGTCCTTGCTAAACCTTCACAAGACTGAAGGGTTTTCAGCATTGCCTCATGCTGGTCAGGGTTTTTGCTGTTCTAGAGGGGAATTCAGATGGGTGTGGGGCTGGGGAGGGGATCGCTTTTATATGGATCCGAAAGAGGAATTAAGATTAACAAGCCCCAAATATTTTCTTTACTAAGTATTTGTCTCACTTTGAAAAGATGTCCTAAAACAATGGGCACTTAAATAATATTCAAATGTTAAAAGATAGTAAGTGTAAAAATTAACAAAAAAAGACATCATAAAATTTTCAAAGTCTTATGTGACTTGATAAATATGAGTCAAAATGCATATGATTTTTATAGTAGACAATAATACAGTTATGCACAGGTTGATGTAAAAGTATAGAAATTCTAGAGGCTTAGAGAGAGGCTCATATGTAAGCCACCAGAGAAATTCTAACCTAATACTTGGGCAGGCTCTAAAGGTGGTAAAATTTGGGCAACAAATGATATAGAAAGAACATTACAGGACTGCTGGATCAAAGAATACATGTGAAAATACTAAGGAATTTTGTGAGCTGGTGGATATTTGGAGTTGGTTACAAAAAACGGGAAGACAATAAGGTGAAGCGTCTGCAGTCAACCAATGGAATGTCTTTGGAATTGAGCTAAGAAGAATGCCTTCCTTGTACAGGCAGTGAACCAGTGAATAACAGTCCACAACTGTCTCTCCTTCCAAGCCATCCTCCTCAACAGCAGAGGGGCAAAGTGGAAAATCAGCAATACACAGCACCATGGTAATGCATCAATCCATGTTTTAATTCTAAGACAGTCACAACAAATATATCACATTTGTGGTTAAGGTAAGTAAGGCCCATGAAAATTTTTTCCCAGTTGAAGTAAAAAGGTAAATATACTATACCACATACTGAAAAGCATTAAAAGGAAGCAAGGAGTTTAGTGAGTGTTTAGCTTTAAACATGGTCAGTAAGAGGCTTGTGGTGTAGCTTACTAGAAGACACGTGGTCAGTGATACAAACAGAATGAGGGCTCTTACTACTTGTCTGGCATAAGCCATCCCGAGCTGTGGGGAGGAAGCCAGAAACACATCTGCAAAATGGAACCTTAGTATAAACACATGAGAATCTGGATATCCAGGGTTACCAGAAGACTATTCAAATTACGAACATCAAATACCTTGGGTTTATTTTCATTTGAATTGTTGGCAACTCTTACCTCGTACCACAAGGTCAGCTGAAGCTGAAGAATTGTCCACAATGGTCTGTGCTGTGCATGTGTATCTTCCTGCATGCTTCAGCTGGGCATTTCGGATGAGCAGTTCCCCGTTGGCATCGAGCTATGGGCAAAACCAGCACATGTTCAGTCAGAGCATTTCCACTAACCACGCCGCATTTAGGATATGGAGGTAAATTGCTTTCTCCTACTAGGAAGCATCTGTGATGGGCCTGTAAAGTACATGTCATTGTTCAGCTTCTGCTCTAGCCTCAACTTTACAATTGGAAACTAAAGAAACAGAACGTCAGCCCTTTTGAGATTTGGTGTGTTTGACATTCTGTCAGTGAGCAACACCAAAAAGAACCCAAGGATGGACTTAGTTGATCAGTAGCTTTTCATTGTTTTTACTTTTGAGATTATAATGTAACATTTCCCTGTTCCTTTTCCATGAACCCCTCCCCACTCTCCTTCATGACCTCTTTTTACCACTAATTGTTATTTCATGTGCATATGTATTTATGTTATATTCTGAAATATAACCTATTCGGTTCATACAGTGTTACTTGGTACTTTCAATGAAAAATGCCAGTGTCTAAGAATCGTAGTGCTATCAATGTGAGTAAATAAATGTTTCATGGCTGAGAACTGTGAATCTAGTTTTGCAAAGCTGAGTGAATTGACCAAATTCAAGATGTTCCACAGTTCATTTTATAAAGCTGCTAAAAACAGAACTATCAAAATGGATGTAAATTCTGCTGTAATGTAACTTGCCATCAAATTATAATCTACACAAGGATTTGGGTCTTGTTCAAGACTATTCCCGATAATAATAAAGTGCGTGTGTGTGTGTGTGTGTGTGTGTGTGTGTGTGTGTGTGTGTTTTCTGCCCTACCACAGGTTCTACCATGTGCTGCGTTCTCTGATGCACTCATCTGCAAACATTTGGATTTGTACTATTTCCATGACTGAGGAGGTGGAGAGTCAAAGCTATCAACAGCCTGGTCACAATTTAATCACATTTACATCCCCCATGACTGGTAGAATCTTAAATTTAAGCCAATTAAGAATCAGCTCTGTCTTAAATATTAGAGCCTAAATAGGCAGTGACAGGCTCATGCAAGAATTGTTAGAGTCAACATGCAGACTCCTTGCTCTATATGTGGTAAGGCATGTTGCTGAAACTCCACAGCAGGAAAGCAGAGGGAAAATGTCCATAATCTTTCCAGTAGAGCATGAATGTGTGAAATATTTTCGGACATTTTTACACAGGCAGCTAACAGTTTCCACCCTCAGGAGAGGCTGGGGTGCTTGGTGGTTGACAGAACGCTTACAAAGCAAGTGAAGACCATGGGTCTCAGCACATTCTAGCCACAAATTAGATGCGAATGTTCACTTATTTTCACTAAAAGCCACAGCTTGGCTGAGTCACAAATTCTTCCCTTCAAATGAGGAGAGTTGAATCACATCCTGGAAATTGTGATAGCAAAGCTCGGGGGTATTCCAGAGAGTGTATGTGGTTGACCACTGAGAAGTCTCCCAAGTTTAGGTCAAAAGACTTTCAATGTATAAATGCCCACTTCTTGCTTTCTCCTCCACCATACCCTAACTGAAAAATAATTATTGCAATAAGTAAAGAAAATTAAAATATTACTAATCTATATGAACAAATTGACTTAAAGAGCATGCCAAAAAAAGCAACATGGTTAACACAAGGCATGCTTTGTGCCTTTGAAATTGACCAAGCCGCAATTTATTTATTTATTTATTTATTTATTTATTTATTTATTTATTTATTCTCTGTATTGTTTTTGAGCCTATCCTGGAACTTGCTCTGTAGACCAGGCTGGTCTCGAACTTACGGAGATCCACCTGTCTCTGCCTCCTGAGGGCTGGGATTAAAGGCGTGTGCAAGGCATGTCATTTAAAACATGCAGTTGGTAAACACAAACAGAAATTTTTAAATATGCCTAGTAAATGTGCTATACACGAAGCAAGACTTTTCTTTGCTTTTGGCTTGCTAGACAGCAGCTACAGCAGACACATCGGCTGCCTTACATGCCAGCAGAACATGCCAGCAGAACTTCATGAGTCCTCTAATGTCAACAGGCACATCACAGGCACCTCACATGCTAGCAGCACTCCTTGGCCCCTCTTACAGCAGCAGGCACACCACAGGCAGCCTCATATACTAACAACACTCCAAGGCTCCTCTAACAGCAGGGGTACTGCAGGAGCTGCGGGGTGCTGAAATGCTTTGCATGCATAGATAGATCCACTCTGAGCTGGAACTTATGTGAGAAAGATACAACTTTTAATCAACTCCAAGGCAATCTTTTCATATCTGATAGCCAGGTCTAGCTTTCTTCTTGCATATGTAGAAGTTGGACTTCACAGATACTATGCTAAGTTACTTTCTTTTTTAAATTTAAACATGTGAAGTGTCAAAATAGAACAGTTACATCCCACAGCAACTGATTTCTCTCCTGTAATGAACTCCTCACTGTAACTGTGCTGTCTCACTGTTGAGTTGCCTGGTGTCTTTCTATCTAGCACAATTCGGTCTAATGCAGAACACTGGGAATACTGGCATCTTGATGCTGCACTAAACGTCTCAGCAACTTTTTTATGACAGCACCGTGACTCTCAAAAGAGGGCCATTCTCTTTAATACACACAAACTATATTTTCACACATCCAGCTAACAGTAATTCTCTCATAGTCAATATTTAAATCGATATTGGTTTTAATAATGCATCAATTTAATTACTTGAGTCTAAATTTTTGAACACTGAAAAACTCAGTAAGTTATACCATCTAACATTAAAAACACGTGTAAGGGGAGTTGTAGTTACTCAGAGATCATTCTGGGGTTGCCTGGAAATATTGACACAAACTAGATGGGTGACTGGAGAATTCAGTTTTGATCAATTGACCGATTTTTAAAGAAAACACACAATGAGAATTTTATTTGAGCTCCCTGCTAAGCATTCTTTTTAATAAGGATCATTATACCAAAGCTTTGAGCCCTATACTTTGTTTTAGAGTTGAAGGAAAACTTGGATATGGCTTAATTCATATGGTTTCCATTGGTTCCCATTAGCCTCAGAATTCTCAGTGTCTACATAAGAAGGAATGAGGGAAGTTCTTTGCGTAGGGTTCTTTGCCATTCAGTAACACGCACACACACACACACACACACACACACACACACACACACACATTTTCCTAAGAGCAACTTCACCACCTTTATTGTATGTTGTTGTCTTAATTATATTTTCTTGGGGAAAGTAATTCTGCTAAACACAGTTTTTAATGTGTGTGTGTGTGTGTGTGTGTGCATGCGTGCGTGTGTGTGTATGTGTGTGTTCAATTCTCAAAACCCAGAAAGTAAAAATGACAAACATGGTGGCATATACCTGAACCCATCACTGGAGATTTCTGCCAAGGTAGCCTTGCCTATAGGCACCATGCTGGTGAGAGACACTGTCTCAAAAACGTTAAATAAAAACAGTTTATGGTGCCTGAGGAAAGACATCCAAAGTTGTTCTTTGGATTCCACCTGTGTACACATACATGAGTACATGTAGCCATACTACAGACAATCCCTTCCACACCCCAACATACACAAAAGAGAAAGGCTTATTGCTGTATGTGCTTAATTTCCTTCATTAGCACCATTATCTATAAGTGTTTAAGGACTCGACTATTGTGACTTGCTAAGCAGCAACTTTGGCTGATGCAGTTTTCATTTGATGATTTCAGTTTTCTAAAGAAGCTAGCTCAACTATAAAGCACATCTTTTTCTAATTGTTTGATGACAGTGAACAGCAAAACAATAACAACAACCAGCAGGAGTTATGTGAGATGACACCCAGAGCAGTATAACATTAAGGTGTATCATGCTTACCAAGATGTGAAAGGTTCTAATCTCCAATTCTGGTACTGAATTCCTTACTCTGGCCCCCTCTGCTATACCTTAACTCTAACCTTTCTCAGGATGAGTTTCCAAACCCTCTTTACTGACTTCATGCTGTTTATCCATAGCTCTGGACAACCTAGAGCCAGTGACATTTAAAACAATAAAAATAGCTAAGTCTTTGCTTGATTTCTGCTCGAACTTAATTCTACTCTTTCTGTTCTCTTTATTCTCTAGCAGTACAATTCTTTCTCAGGATCAATACTATGTTTGATTTCTAGTATAAAAAAGTTGTTTCTCAAATTCAAATGCTTTTTAATGCCCTGTTTCACATAATTGGTTGTTTCTTTTTAAAGGAAAGAGAAAACTGCCGTAAAGAAAGAAATCTGTTTTCTAATGGCATGGTGTAATGATCACAGCTAACATACATTTTTCACTCCTGAAAGCTCACTGACAGCCAATGCACATCCTTACCCTACAAATACACTGACAGTGAATGCAAGCCTCACCCCTGCAAGCAAACTGACAGCCAGTGCACATCCTTACACTTGCAAACACACACCCTAAAAACCTGAAGATGTTCTAGGATCCCCACTGAGTTTATATTTAGACTGCAAACACACACACAAAAACTCACTCCCTAAAAACCTGAAGATGTTCTAGGATCCCCACTGAGTTTATATTTAGAACTAATGCTGTATAGGCTGGACTTGCCTTATACTGCAAAGGCTGCTACCAGTGTCTGAAGACAAAATTAATGTGGACAATATTATTGTAAATGGGTCATTAAACAAGATTTTAGAATAAAATACAAGTTGAAGAATACTGTCTTCCTGTGTTTCCAACATGCAAAGAATTATTTAAGTAGATATAGGCATTAATATTATATCTCAACCAGAATGAATGACATTTACAGGAGCAGCAGAAAAACACTAGTTCTTTGAGCTTATGTCTTTTGGTTTATTTTATCTATCTAATATTCAGTTTTCCTATCTTTGAAGTTGAGACATTCACAATAGCATCGACTCACTCCTGAATGATCTCTTGTAACCTCCAAGAGTGTGCCATAGCATGTGTGTTCCCACACTCACAAACATATTCAAAGTACAAGTTTATAAAATATTCAAAAATTAAAATAATTTTTGCCGTGAATGAAGGATAAAATGACACATATATGAATACAATATATGTGTATAAATATGACAC